CAAGATGATAACATAAAAAAATTTACTCGAATGCAAAATTCATGTGATGAACTTCAAATACAAACCATCAATTTTGGCGGGGATGGAACGCCATATGATCATGCTAAGTCATAGCACGGGCGCTATCTTGAAAGGTAGCAGTGCCTTTGCATCGAAGCGAGACGAACGGTTAACTTACAATAATAGAGTCGTGAATACTGACCAGGGTGTCAAAGAAGGTCTCGAATTATCATTGCAAGCTCACCATTTGTCTAGTTTTAACGCAAAGGCACGGCTTTCTTTCGAGATGGCGCAGGCCGAAACTAGTTTAGTTTACTAGGTTTTGCGGAGCGAGGAAAACTGTGTGTACTACTGGTCATTGAATCGATGCCTGTCTGGCCCCGCCTTCATATATGAGTACAGTTACTTGGTTCTCTCCTATGCATTATAGAAGATCCTATTTCGCGTTTCTGGTCTTTCAGTTGATATAACCATGATCTATGGGATTTCATTGAGATTTCAACCTGGCTCTCTTCGATTGGTCCGCGCTGTGATCGGAACAACAGCAAAAACATTAGATTTTTTGAAATATCTGGTTATCAAAACGTAGGAAATAGTCTAAAAATAGTCTACGAAAATTCCGAAAATTTCGTGCGCGATAAGCGGACGGGCCAAGTAGGATAACGTGACCACCATGGCCAATCAAAAATGAGTATTCAGCTTATTAAAGCCTGATTGATCCAGACTTTCAAAATCGTTGCTATGGAAAAGTGAAATGTTTAGCGGAGTCAGTCGGCATACGTATACACCTTTAATCAAAGATTAAATGGATTAGATTAAAACGTTTTTGAAGATATTGGTTCGTAATAAAAGACACGTATTATCGTAACAAGTTGATGTAAATTGGCTTTTAAGGAAAGTGTAGGAAGCTTGTTTGTTTAAAGTAGGATAAAAATATAGTAATAATTCGTTTTCATAGGAATTAGAGAAGTTTTGCCAAGAATGCAATTTGGCTCTAACAGCTTTCGGCGTGATATCGTCTTGGTGGACAATGTCATATGTCTGTTTGACTCGAATCGCGGCACTGTCATCATGTACAACTTATCAGTGGCACTGAAAATGAAAATGTGTTGAGACAATCTTGATCATGTTTGCACAGATTGAGTGGGAATAAAAAGTGCATCTTATCTTTTACCTCTACATCACTCGAGTCATCACGTTATCGCGCAATTGCTTCGTGCGCGCGCGACTACCTTACGGGACAACCTATTTCTCTAACGGGAGAGCATACGTAGCAAGCAGATGATGTAATGTATACATAAAAATACAATGAATCACACCTAATACAATAGATAGAACGACAATAGAATACAATAGATAGAACGACAATCATGAATATGACAGATAGAACGACAATAGAATACAATAAATTTTCTGAATGCATTGCATCAACCGAGGGATTTTAGTACAGTCTAGCCATTATTAAGAAATAAATAGAGTGAAAGAGAAACTATTCGAAAATGGGGAGAGGAATGTTGCATAGATAAGACAACTTGCAAATGAATGGGTAAGATGAGATGAATGATGGAATGTTGGGCGAGAAACAAACTCTGTACACATGCGGGATTCCATATCCGCGATCCTACAGGTGCTACTCTTCCCTTACCACTCCAAGACAAATTAATGGAATAGAATACTTGGGATGTATCAGATGAACGAGATACCAGAAAAATGAATAAGGTGGAAAAGACGAAGACATAAATACAAGTTTACTAAGGTAAGACTTTGTGACTCATTCACGCTTCTTGATAAGTCTTCGATGTTTTAAAGACCTCTTTAGCTTGGGCGTACTGTTTGCCCATTTCAGACCACGTGTTATTCTCTTCAGGTTCTTTGAGTCGTACCGCATCCATACGGCATGTGTCTTCTCATGCGCAACTGTTAAACAAAGAAATGATACGCTAGAGAATGACACGTAGTCTGAAAAACCTTTTTTTTTTTTTGTATACCTGCATAAGTGGGGATGACATACTTTTTAATCCCGTATTACGGCTAGGAAAAAACGGTTACAGTTTAGATATTAATGAAAATTTTGTAAAGTTATTGCTGCAAAATCTGTGATTCTTTTATTCATTCGGTTAACATTCTAGTAGACCCTAATTCCATTGTTTTCTGTGTGTATTTAAATGAATATTGATTACCATGCTACCATTAGTTTTCATTGCAAAAGTATGTGAAAACTACTCTATTATTTAAAAGAAAACCTGTTTAAAAAACACTCAATAGTGCGCAAGGTAAATTTCTGAATTTATACCAATAATTTAGCTTATAAAATATTCATTGCTATTTATTTAGCTTTCCCTTATTAACTTCACAAGTGCTTCGAGTCTCTGCAACAGCAAATGTAAGGTTCCCTTATGTACTGGGGCATAGGGATGGGGGTTGTTAGCAAAATCACTAGCTATAGGTAAGTTTTATCTCACTGGCCCACACCCGGTATATTGGTAGCCCATAACTTTCCTATGTATTTGATATCCTCTCCCAAATTATCTGCAAAGAACTTATCCTCCAAAATAAATCTTGCTGAGCCCTCACACCATGTCTTGATATTATGATAGAAAATCCCCTAAAGATAAAAGTATAGTATTTACTTTATTATAATTAACTTGGATTTGACATTATTCACAGTGCATTTCTTTGAATTTGATATATGTTGTTTAGTTGTCTCTTCGTGTGGTTTTCTTGGCATGCTCGCATTTCCTGGAAATACCATGTACTGTACTTGGGCCCTGGATCTTATTGATGAACTAAAAGACCTCAGGTGACTTCCAAGTGACGAGCATATGTAATTGAAGGTGTACTGTAATTTGGCTCCATTTTACTGCAGATCATTTCTTTGGTAAAAGGTAATACACGACATTTTCATACACTACAAAAGTTATTGCACAAGCTGGGACTACTCTGCAAAGAACATAAAACACATAAATATAAGTAAATAAGTACACAGGTTAATATAATATGGTTTACCAATGGTGAACTGAAGGCTGGGTACCATGAATTGCTGTTTATTTTATAATGTATTAGAACAGAAGTGAGTGTTGCTAAGTTGTTATGTGCACTGTCAGCACAACACTAGCATAGGGAAGGTGGCATGGGGGGAGATTGGGGTACCTTCCCCCAAAAACAAAATTAATTAATTCATGTGGGATTCCTGCGGATTTGGCACTAAAATGGTTACTGTACATTGCCCCCCCCCCCCCCCCCCCCCCCCCCCCCCCCCCCACCCCCCCCCCCCCTCCATGATAGAGACCTCACTATGTCCCTGCAGCACAGAAAGAGAAGGGAATATGGGATGCACCATCAGCTTCCCGGTTCACCAATAGCTTGATGCTATACTGCAGGATGACATCCTTGCAGGTATCACTGCCAGGGTTCATTACATCCTCAGTGGTTCTTTTACAGTATATTGTTGTAGATGGGGCTGCCATTTAAAGTTGTCATCCAAGCAACAAGGGATTCACAGTCCCCAATATAGAGAGACATGACTTTTTCATCTTCCAATTTTTCACCCTCAGCCAGGGGTCAAACCTGATTTTTTACAGATTAAAAGCTGGAAGCACTAGCCACTGCATCATCAAGCTATTATGTATCAGAGGTAAGACCTGACCTTTATTTAAGTGAATAGAGTACAGTTGCTAATGCCATCCATGAGCACAACAAACGTTGCAAAGAATTGAAAGGAAACAGCACTGGAAACTACTACTGTCAGTGTCAATGTTTACTTCCTGTATGCTTTATTAATGAACGCCGAGCACAGAAAAAGCTGTATTATTTGTTAATCACCAAAATACAAACCTGATTATACTTGGCACCATGCCTTTATAAAACCCAGTAATTCCTTCATATCTATCACAAAGAAAATGCCATGCATCAATATTCCATAATCAATCATTGAAATGCCCTGGATTTCAGAGGTTCCCAGTTGCGAAGTGCTTCTTTTTCTGACCTCAAGCGTTTTTCAGGTCCACCGGTTTTTCCTCCCTCTTCTCAAATCAATCCTAACTTATTCAAACTGGTTAGAGCTGTGCTCCGGGGTCATTTATGGACTGTATAGCAGCTGCCAGAGGTACCTTCACATGCTTTCAGTTCGACCTCATTGAGCTGCGCCACTGCTGACTTGCGGACAAGTTTTTTTTCTTAAAGTCCTTAACCTCTTACCAAACAACGTCTGAAGTGAGAGAGCTTCTTATTTCCAGGGTGAAAATTCAAATAAAATGAAATATAAGGCTGAATGGTCTTACCTGAATACTTTCCTTATGATATCAATTGCTCCATTATATTGCCCTATTGTGTTATGATTCTAGGGAGAAAAGACAAAGTTCATGGAAAAGAAAGCATCATATCAATGTAAATTCATAAACTCATATGGAAAAAGGTTGTAGGAACCAAAGAAGATCAGAAATAGGTGATAGCTGATTGGAGATAGGTCATTCCAATGGATCGAAGAATAGCTGGAATATTATTCTCTATTCTAAATTAATATTATATTATTTTGCTCTAACAACTTATTTTGAAATAGGTACTGTATATATAGAAAGAAAGTAAAAGTTTAGAATATATTAAAATTATTACTGAGTTAATTGCAGTATATGCTAATACATACTTGTAATCTTGATCTAATGACTTGGTAAGGGTAGGTGACACTAGCGGCAAATATCTTAGACAAGGAAGCCATAATCAAGTAATCAAAAGAATTCTGGGGAAAAAAGAAGAAAAGTATTTATTGAGAGATTGCTCGATCGCCTCAATGTGACCAGGGTTCAATTTCTAGACCTGGTGCCATATGCAAGTAGAGTTTTCTAGTTGGTTTTCTTCTGTGCTTTGAGGGTTTTTAACCTGGTTTTACCGGCTTACCTACTGTACCTGCCGCAAAAACCACCTTTTCTAAATTCCTATTCCATCAGGGAAAGAGGGACAAGTGTTACCCTTGTAAACCAGAACAATATTATTATAAATATGCATGCAAATCTACTACAGTACCTACCAGTTTCTGGTTGATTGGTGGATTAAAATAATGACTATGAGCTTTCTTTAATTCTTCGTAGGCCATAAATTGAAGTGCTCCATGGGTTACACCAAATATTCCTGGTAGATATCCCTGATGGAAAATAATCAAGCCTATCATAATTAATACATGTAACATATGCTGTAAACCTGGAACTGGTGCAGAGCACCCTAGATAGTGGTAGAACGGAAGCAAGATAAATTTTCATTCACCCACCATGACCATATTCTAATGATGGAATGGCAATAATGAAATTAACAAACCTTGTACAGCCCCCTCAAGCCTTCATATCTCCACACTTTTACCAAAGTATCTAGTTTTGCAAAGGACAATTGTTAAATTCATATAACCTTTGCACTAAGGCCATAGTTGCTTGGAAAGCTATTTTTCAGCAGTTCATAAAACAAGCCATAAAAAATGGTGATCCAAAAAGAAAAGTTGTCTTGTTTGAACATCATTGGTGGTAATAGCCCTGTATGTTTTATGCAGACGACACTTTTGATATTTGGTGGTTTTAAATCATACATGTTTCGGCAGGTTCGACTGCCATCATCGGTGATGGTATAAGTAAAGTAAGATTACAAAATATATAGCAGAAGAAAACAATGGGTGATAGTACAATGGAAATAAAACTAATGTAAGCCCTGTATGTACCCCTACATTAATTGGCATTATAGAGGCCATGTTGCAGGAGTAATAACTACATGTAAAGACAAAGTTTGCAATAAAGCAAAAATAATATATTAATCTATTTAAAAAATATAACATTAGATAGCACTGTGCTTCAATGAATTTGTTGTACATAAGGGGTAATCTTATACTTTACATGTATGAACAGCTGACACTGGTCAGTCGACTGTCCCCTGATAGCAGTGGCCGATAGTCGGGGTCGAATGTTGGCCAACTATCGGCCATGCATTGACCAAGTGTTAGCCAACAGTAAGGTATAAGGTACAGTATATATTGTAAAGTATAGCTTACCCAGCATGCTTTTATATCGTTGCTGCTGAACACTGTATTCTCCACTGTATTGTAGACACATTCTTGTCTTAACCACCCAGATAGGGTTGGTGAGAGTCAATGTAACAAGCCCTGCAAAAAATAAAATTTATAAAAACCAAACTTGGACTTTTTATTGGCTCTGTCATCTGTCCTACTCTGTCCTACTGATTAACGATAAGTATGAACATGAACAAGAAAAAAAAACTAGAGGGAAGTAAAATATGTACCATTGAAATTTGGAGGATTATTAGGGGTTCATCAGGATCACAGTGCTTTAACCGTGACTGTCTATTGCAATAGTCCATGACAATAGCAGCAATTATTGGTACATGCAATTGAGACAACAAGCATTGTATCGACCCGATAGCCTCACTTGTATGATTCTTATAACAAAAGAATTTCTCATTTCAGGCTCAGCTGTGATAACAGCAATTCAAACACCTTGTCCAGAGAGTTTCCTGATTAATGAGGCCAAGCCGTTAGGGGTAATTTAAGACATGGTCTTGAAACGGCAGTTGACACAAAATTGCCACAAACAATAGATTGCTTTAATGAATTACCAACACCGAGACCTGTTAGGGGTAAACTTTCAACAGCAACACCTGAACATTCCAAAATTGCAACATAGGCAGTTGAGAAATTCAGATGGAGGACATGGTTTTCCCCCCCACCCCCCGCCTTCATAGGGCCTCAATAATGTCATATGTCAAAGGTACATATATATGGACACAATTTCATTGCTGCCCTTACCAGTTACTGCACCAGCTAGAAGGTGCTTTTCTGCTCCTAGTGGCTTCTCACTATCATCATGCATCCAGGCTTTAATAATATTATAACTGTTTTAAAACATGAAGAGCACTGTCAATAAAATAACCAATGATCTGAAGAAACTAAGAGAATTCAAATGGAAAAAGGTAACTTTATAAGACAGCACTGTAAAAATACAGGTAGAACTTATGATATACAATGTAAAATGTGTGTTCCTAAATTAATAGACCCTTTGATCTTCTAAAGACATTAGCATTTCCCCATTTCAGATCACTTGTCATTCCCTTGAGTACTGTTTCTCTGTTTACCAGTAATGCTCAAGGGAATAATATATCGTCTGAAATAAGAAAATATTGTTGTGAGCTGAATGGATGCAATTACATGTACATGTAAATAGGTCCTACATAATACAGGGTGGCACAGGGGGAGACGGCATCATGCATATACGCGTCATGTGTATAACTACTGTATAAACAGCAAACCCAAACCTCATGAATCAAGCTCTACATTTTACTATTTTCATGCATCAGGTAATTATTTTRGACTGAATCCTGTGTCATAGGTATAATGTTCAGTGTCACCCTCTGAATATAGTAACCTACAATGTATACATACCCAAAAAAGTAAAGTCCCCATGCAGAACCATTTCCGAGTACATTAGGCGCTGCACCCTAAACAAAATATAAATATCATAACAAAACAAAAAATGATGAATCATGAGTAAATAATAAAATATTATGGTTATAATAATAATATAGTTTATTTCCAGCCTCCACAGTGATGTCCGTAGTGGGGAAATAAAGAGGGATTTCCCTTGTGTTTTTCATTTCTCCAGGCCTTGACCATGGACCTTTACTGAGACAGCGAACATGGTGCATTTTGTTCAAGTTTTGGTACGAACGTCTTTTGTTCATCATTTCACAATATACAGTAGTGTTGTTTGTATCAAAACTAGACCAGAATGCATTCTGCTTATCAAACTTAGAAAAGGCCTATGCATAGATATGGGCACTGTATTATACAAGCTTGATGCATGTCTTTCTTAAGCTTAGTTTTCACTTGCATCGGAAGATCAGAAGGTGTCCATTTTCTTCCGATTCTGATTCTGACTCAGATCCTTTTAACAACAAATGAAAACTAAATATTGGTATCAGAAGCATAAGCAGAAAACCAATCATAGTACTCTTCTCCAGGCTCTCTTCAATGTTAGGAAAGCACATATACATCAAATCGAGGCTTCTGCTTCTGATTCTGTTTCTGCTTACGGTGATCGATTACTGCTTACTCAGATTCTGACTCCGATTCTAAAGCAAGTGAAAACCAAGCTTTAATAATTTGTATAAGCATCCAATGCACTACTCCATTAGCTAGTGTAACTACAAACCTGATACAATCCTCGCCATCCATCATTCCTTATTATGGATCTTGTTGCGTCTAAAAATCCCTTGTATTTAGGCCCACGTCCAAGACCATCATTCACTTTAAAGCAAATGTCATTACTAGTTTTCAGAGAATAGCAAACTGTCTTGTTATTATATATTTTACAACTTCACAACTTCTAAGATCAAGAAAACAATTGGGTTTCAGAAATTGAAGGAGGCAACGTCGAGACGATTTTCACAAAGATTTCTTTCAACTTCGCGATCAAAATAAAAATCAAGGCTTCCTAGTATTTAGATATAGGGCGTAAGACATTGGTTATTGGACAGGAATCAATGATCTCACCTTGCAGACGTACTTTCATCAAGTCAAGAGGATGCAAACACATGGTTGCAGAAACACCTCCACAGACTCCAGCAATCAAATGTTCGTAGCGAACATGTCGAAGTAGTGACTTGTCAGGCATATTTACAGCAGATTTCGAGACACTATGACCCCCACTCATATCTTATGAAAAATACGAGTAACAAAAACTTAACGAATTATATAATAAAATAGTGGAAAAGATGTCGTAACTTGGCAGCCATTTTAGCTGAGATTTGTTTCCAGTCTCTTGGCCGTTAGGTATTACGCAATATGTTGATCAGGAAAGGATTACAATTTATTAAAAATTACAAAAACGTTTTAGGAATTAAATATAGAAATAGTTATAAATTATTTATCTTTCTTATTTATATAGCTTATTTATTTTTTTGTCATTTTAATTTTTTTATAATGAGTGGGAAATCGCATTTTTAAGTTTTTTTGCTCCTGTTTTAAAATAAAAGGACGGAAAAAATATGAGAAGCCGATAGCTGTGAATTATTTAGATATTTCAAACTCTAAAATAAAATTATTAAAATAAATTAAAAATAATGAAAAAAAGATTTATTTTTAAAGACAGGACCAGAATGCACTAAGGTCGTGTATAGCAACATGATTACGAGGCACGTCAAAATGGCGGACGAATTCAGTGTTTGACAACAACTAAACTCCAAAGAATCGACTTAATTTATACTTTAAAACCACTCAAAATAATCGTAGATTCAACTGAATTGGTCAAAATGTTTATTTATCTAAGCAAAAAGGTGAGAAAATATTGAATATATTGAGTAATTTTATTTTTCTTGTGGATGTTTACGTTGGTTGTTTCGAGGCTTTTCGTCGTCAAGGACAAGTTTTATTATATATTTTTTCAGTGAAATTTGTTTATTATATTAAATGAAAAGTAAATGCATGGTTTCTTTCATAAATTTGATGTTTTAGATTGCTATCCCTAATAATACGAAGCTGAGATGTCTAGCTTGGAACAGAGAGCAAGGTTACATCGCTTGTGGTGGTGATGATGGCTTGTTGAAGGTCTTGAAGTTGGAGATGCAACAAGGTGAAGAATAACGTCTTATCATAATATATATACATATATATATATGTATATATAATAACAGTCATTATGGAAGGCAAAACTCTATGAAGAGAAGTTAAACAACCGAGAAACTGTAGATACTGTTCATGATCAAGTTTGGATACGAGAAGGGGATTTCCTGATAAAGCATTACTTGCAAATTCTATCGTATAATTTTCTAAAACCTCTAACATTGAATATCCTTCCTTTTTTATAAAGAAATAGAGTTTTAAAATGACATATTTTTGATAGACCAATCTTTACAAGCCTATTTTTTGTTTGTTCACACACACATATTAACAGAACATCAATTATAAATATGAAATACAGTGTCTCCCTCATTTGATACTCCCCTAAGTGTTGATTGAAGAAATGCTGCCCCTACCCCCCACCCCCCCNCCCCCCCCCAAAATACAGCTCCCCTCCAACACATAAATTATAAATGGTCCAGACTCGCTAAGAATCATTAATTCAAAGGAAATTAAATTTAGTTATAAAATAAACTTAATATTCAGGGTTTTTTTGTACAATTAATTGTAGGCAAAGATAACAAAGTAAAGGGGCTAGCAGCACCCAGCAATCTGTCCATGAACCAGACACTGGAGGGACATACTGGTAAGTACTGTACTGCATGCCCTATGTACATATATCTTTATCACATGACAACCATGTTGACTGGAACAACAGGTTACCCCACATGGCCTCACATTCAAGTACTTCAGGAGGAGGTTACCTGTGGTATAGTTTTTATTATCATGGCAATTAACAAGATGCTGTGTGATAAAGGTTCATAGTTACCAAGGGTATCACTTAACAACCTAATCATACTGTGCTGGCTTGAAGCCTGGGGTTACTGGTTTGATGCACAACTCATTCCTATGTGTGAGTTAGGTTTGCTTGAAGTGTTGTCTTCTCTCTCTCCTTCCCATAATAATTGTTTTTTTAGGGTTCTACTGTTTTSCCTCCTCAATGTGTGAGTTTATGTGTGAGGGGGCTTTTGAACTAGGATTTTACAGTATCATTAACTAGTATGAGTGTATGGAGTATGGTGAAGAAGAGTCCACCATAAAAAAAGAAATAACATGGCTCTCAGGTAAAGGATATCTTACTCAATTCAAGACTATAATAATTGGAAACATTGATTCCAACAGGATCTGTTCAGGTTGTGACTTGGAATGAACAGTTTCAAAAGCTAACCACAAGTGATCAATATGGTTTGATAATCGTATGGATTTTGTACAAAGGTATGGCAGCATATAACACTGTACATATTATTGTTTTAAATGGTGAAGTGTGACTGCAGAGTTTTCATTAAGAATGAGGGATTGGAGAATGGTCCAGTAACTGAGCCAAATTCTCCATCCTTAAACTACGTGTACCATTACTAACTTAGTAATTTCAATTGAAAATGTTCATTTGGTGCCGGAGGGCTCTCTAGCAGTTAATGATATCATATCATTTCAAAACTTAATGTAAACCCTGGAATTGTACTGTATACAATGTACATGTAATTCACTTAAACAATGATGTTTTGGAAGGCTATACTACGCACCTGAATGATCACATAACACTGTAAATCATGGGATAAACATTGGATTCCACAGAGTGGGTCTTCTTCCACTGGATTCCAATTGGAATTTAGAAGTTGATTTTTGTTGATTTTTGTTAATTTTTGACATACAAGCCAATACTGTAATACTTCCTGATACTGTACTGTATATATACATGTACGTACACTTTTTATTTCAAAAGGCTCATGGTATGAAGAAATGATCAACAACAGAAACAGAAGTGTAGTTAGTGACATGAAGTGGAATGCTGATGGACAGAAGATCTGCATTGTCTATGAAGATGGTAACAGTTACTCATCTTAGTACTTACACACTGTTTATTGGTCTATTCTGTCAGTACTAATTATCGTGGAACAATCATCAAGATTTAACCTTTAGCCTAATAAGCCCCTATTAACTCTAGCTGGTTGGTCTTGTTTGTGGCTGCAGTGACTGATGCAAGCCTTCCATCCTTTAATCAGAGATATTTCAGAGTAGAAGTTGTACAGTAGCTTGAATTATTAAAGAAATAGATAAGTGTATTCATAAAGCACACAGGGATTGGCAGAACACAAAAGAAAGGTTAGGAAAAGCACGATGCATAGCAGAGTTCTTCTCGACACTCCTTGAGTTTTCTGCAATTCCCAAGTGCCTTATAACCGTGCACAGCACAGCAAGCAAGTTTTTTATTTCTTTTATAAAATACTAATTAGAATAACCATTATTTTGGATACAAATGACAAACAACAGTTAGAAAGTGCATGCACATGCTGAGTTCTCTCATAATGTACATGGTTCCAACCAATCAGGACATGAGATTCATAGCAGGTATTTTATAATCTCTATGATAGGTGCTGTTATTGTTGGTTCAGTTGATGGTAACAGGATATGGGGTAAAGAACTAAAGGGAGTCCAACTGACAAATGTTGAGTGGTCTCCTGATGGCAAGAATATCATCTTTGGTATGGCAAATGGAGAGGTGCAAATATTTGACAACCAAGGGAACTTCTGTGTAAGTATAGCTATTACTGTGTGTGTCGATTGACTTGCTGTCTAGCTCCAATAGCTCATAAAAGTTAACCAATCATTAATAGCCTCTGATGATGCCAGTGACTGATCAAGGCTCAGGCACAAAAGATAAAAAATCTACAGTAGTTTAAGGCCTCAAATAATTCTGTTTAACTCTACATCACTACCATTATAATTGTTCAATTTGAAGTTGATTGACGGTCGTTGAAATGCTAGTACAACCAACAACCGACAACCAGTTGGTTCAATTGCATGGTTGAGCTTTGGACTGTAGAGAAGGAGGTTACGGGTTTGAACCCCAGCTGGACCAACACTCAGGATCTATACTTATGGTAGCATGCATGCACTTGAGAAAAGAATATTGTCCCCAACAAGGTTCTAATTTAAAAATTACATCTTTAGTTATTATTATTTTGGTCTTTTGTCACTCTTTACAGACCAAGATGACAATCTTCTGCTTAACCAATGTCACTGGTGCTGTAAGGATTACAGGAATTGATTGGTAATTATTGATTTTTTCCTGGAATACCCTGATACATGTAGCTGAGTGAGATCTCAAAAATCACAACTAGCTTTGGCTTTGACCCTAGACTTGCTAGGAGCTAGTCATTTTACTCTTTTCTTCTCCCTACTCATGGAGTCGCAAGTTGACACCTCAGTCACTTTTGGACCAGTCAAAAATAGGGGGCAAATGACTTTTATCTAAAGTCTATTTTGACTCTTGCCTTGGCTGGATTTTGGAATCAAAGTTGTACAGTAATTCATGGTTATTTTTTTTGATTGTTTTATTCTAGGTACTCTGGTGCAGACAACTTGGTTGATTCCAATACCCCCTGTCTGGCCATATGTTTTGATAATGGAAGGATGCAGATCATGAGGCATGAGTTAGATGAAAGTAAGCAATATTTACAGTACAATAATAATTGCATTTTCCATTTGACAGTGCAAAAGTGTTTTAGCCTGCCAGTACATAGTAAAATTTTACCTGCATTTTGGCCATTGGCACGCTGCTATTTCGAGCCCTAACGACATGTTTTATATCTCAACCAAGTTAGTTCACCAATAACTTCAATTTTCAATGACACATCTCGCTAAATACATGCAAAGCTCTAAATGAATATGCATCATGTACATGTATGCTAGCATGTTGAAATTGGCTTTATGTAACATTTTCATTATATTTGGCTTTTCTTACAAGGTCCTGTGTTGATTGACACTTCCATGGCTGTTGCTAAGATACAGTGGAATGGTAATGGTTCAGTACTTGCTGTTGCTGGTTCACAGAGGGCTGTCACGCAGGTCGGTTATTCAAAAAATTAATATTATATAATAGTGGAACCCCGCTCTACGGCCACCCTCTTAATACAGCCACCCAGTTATTATGGACAGTTTTGTAAGTCACGACCAAATACCCATACATTGTCACACAGGGTAGTTATTCAAAAAATCAATGATACAACAGTAAGACCATTGATTTTTTGTTGTTAATGTGCTATTGTTATCATGTGTTTTTTCCTCATCCACCATCACACATGCATAGAGTTCCTTACAGGGGCGGGGGGCCAGGGGCCCCCCCATGAATTTTTTTTGGGGGGCCCACATGAAATATAAATGCATAGATTCGATTTTTAATACTGTTATTAAGTTATTGTTGTGATTTTTTCCAGTGTCCTCCCAAAGATATTTTGCAGTGCCCCCCCCTCCCCAAAGATTTTAAGCTTCCACTGCCCCTGCCTTATTATTTACTTTACTGTGCTTACTGTACATGTAAAGGGTTGTTCTCTAGCTGGGTGATACATACTTACTTAAATACATTCAAATTTAATTAATATATTATGCAACATATATTCAAAGTGATTGGAAAAGATCATAAACTGGCTGAAGAGTCATGGTTTTTATTATTTTTTGAAATACAGTAAATAGAGTCCAAAAGATCATCATCATGGTAGTTTAAACCAGAGAATTTTGCTCAGAGCATTGTCTCACTCTGACCCTTAATAAAAACCTTGTGAGTTGTACATTTATTATCATGTCATTGAATGATTGCGATATTCTGGTTTACAGGACAAGGATGTTAATGTTGTACAGTTCTACACACCTGAGGGTGAAGTAAGTAAATGTTTTAATTTGTTCATTTTCATTAAGTTGCAGACACAAGCCTAAGCTGAGATTTAAATTTCAATGTACTTAATACACTGTAGCATGTTTTGTTAGTAATAAATGCAGTAAACTCTTGTTGCTGCAGACAACCATGGAGACTGTCGCATGATGTCTGTAATTAGCGAGCATCGACCCCAATAGCAAGAATTAATTAACTGGCCGTTTCTTTGATCATCAGTATTTTTCACTAGGGATTTTGCTCCTGTCCGCAATATTGAGGTATCCATAGTATCAGGGTGTCTGCAAGGCAAGAGTTGACTGTAATCTGTGAGGTTAATTAACTAATACAAGGATATCCTTTCATACAAATTGTTTTGTTAAAACACAGCATCTACGCACACTAAAAGTACCAGGGAAGCAGATCACTTCAGCCTGTTGGGAAGGTGGCAGTCTCAGAATTGCACTGGCAGTAGATTCCTTTATTTACTTTGCTAACATTAGACCCAACTACAAGGTACTGTATGTAAAATAATCAGACACATACTATTAAAAAGAGTAGTTTTTGTGTGTAAGACAATAGAGGCAATACCGATAAGCTACTGAACTATCCAGGCATCCAAATCATCCAATCCTGTGTGCCGTATTTGTTTGCTTATCGCATGATATAATGACAACAAATCTTGGGTGTTTTTCATTTCTAGTGGGGATTCTTTTCAAACACTGTGGTGTATGCCTTCAAAAAACCTGAAAGGACTGAACACTGTGTAATATTCTGGGACACTAAGAATGGAGAGGTTAGTAATATTACTCAATCTTTTAACTCATAATGATCTTTCTGTGATAGCAAACATGGTGCATAATGTGGTCAGTACAAACACCTTTAAGTCCTTCAGAACTTATTTGGTGTTGTTTGTACCCAAGCTAGACCACAATGCATCCTGTTTAACAAACTCAGAATAGTCTGTTCATTTTGACACTCTCATGCTATAGATTTATTTGGTTTGAACTGTCTAATGTTGTTTTTTACCACAGAAATTTGTGAAGTATGTCCGTAACCTCATGTCAGTCTCGGCATTTGGTGATCATTGTGTCTTGGCAACCAAGGCAGATGATTCGTCTGGCCAGGTATGTACATTGTACACATATCCTTTTATTTTACAGTATTATTAATTTAATCGTTAAAAAATTATAGACTATTTGTTGTATGTCTGAATACTTCATTAGTGACTTGGACTGTGCATTTTGTTTGGCAGTATGTTTTGGTTCTTTGTAATGCTATTGGCACACCACTGGACTCCAAGTACATTGAAATAGGTAAGCTTTATTTTACTGTATATACTGTATAATTAAATGCTATCTTTATTGAGCAGACACCCCTTATTAAATGGACAGCTGCACGAGTACCAAATTTTTCAGACAAAAATTTACTAACAGTAAATTGAACCTCAGTCTATAAAACATTGTATTAAGTGGAAACTGGACAAGGACCCAACTTTAGGTGTCTTAACACAGATACTACCCTTGAGATATATTATTATTATTATTGTTATTATTATTATTATTATTTGATTAGTTTATTGATTCACAATCCCATGCAGCCTTCATTCAAGTCTTATATTTTATTTGTTGTTATCATATAGAGCCACAGTTCATTGCCATGACTCGCAGTTATGTAGTTGCATCATCAAAAGAAGCATTTTACACCTGGCAGTATCGCAGTCCAAAGAAACTTACGTCACATGAAATTCAGGCATCATCACGCAGAAAGGATGTCAGAGAAAGGTAGTTTTGCTAATATACATTTGTATAAAGCTAAGCAGTAGCCCTAATTTATTATACTAACATGGCCCATCCATCCATCCATCCTAATATATCCTTTCCATCCATCTACATGTATCTTATCTCATCAAAATGCTCCCAATCCTGTCCATCCATCCTATTTCATTCATTCATCTATCCAACCCATCCACCCATACATACAGTACCAACCCATCCACCCATACATACAGTACCAACCCATCCACCCAT